CGGGGGCGCCCCGGCTCCCGGGCCGGGCGGGGCATGGTGCGGGGGCCGCGGGAGTGTGGCAGAGGACGCGGGGCCGCGCTGGGCTGAAGCGGCGGCAGAGGCCAGCCCGCCAGCCCCTAGGCGAGGGAGCGTGGCGGTGCCGGACTGGTGGTAGTGGTGGTGGTGGTGGTGGTGCGAGGAGGGGGCTGCCGGAGGCGGCGGGGCGGGGGGCTCGGCCGGGGGCTGGGGCGCATTGTAGGGCGGCGGAGAAGTGTGAGGGACTGAGTCCGGGAGGCCTGGGGCAGAAGGTGGGGGTATGGGGTGGGGGAGGGGAAGCCAGACAGAGATGGGAGAGGCAGGTGAGAAGCCAGCTTAGTTTGGGACAGGACAGGGGTGTATCTAGGCCACAACCCCCACTTCCATCTAGGTTTCAGGTCACAGTTCTCTCTGCAGCTTTTCCTTCTTTTTCTGCAACATTAACTCAGTTGTCACCCACCGACCCGGGCTCCAGCCTCGCGCAAACGCGTGTACACGCAACACTGTGTTCGTGCGTGTTGGGGACAGCGCAGGTAGGAGGACCCATCCCCGGCTTCTCCTTCATGGGGAGAGGTGAGCCCTGGCCCCTCTGGGGACCTTGGGGGACTTTTCGGGCCTGGAGTCTCCGCATTTACCCTCCTGACAGCCCCCTCTGGTCCTGTCTCCATAGTCCCCACGGGGTTTCTGCAGGCGGGTGGGCCGGGAACGGTCCATCTGTCGCTCCCAGAGATGCTGTCCCTGGCCAAGGCAAAGCCACTCTGCCTCCCTTGGCCCCTCAACCTGCCCCCCTCTTGGGTAGTTGGCAAGGGGCAGGAGAAGGAAAAATACCGGCAAGGTGGTCGATCGAAAGCGGAAGGGGGTTGGGAGCTGGAGAGACGGGAATGGACCCGGACAAGCCACTAGGGAGGGTGCAGGCAGGAGTGGGTTGGGGGTCCTTAGATGAGGAGGGCGAGGGAAGGCTTGTTATTGTTTTTTACCTGACTTTTCCGACGACATGCCTGTGGTTTCCCTGGGACAAGGCCCCTGCAGCAAGAGTCAGGGGCCCCTGGCGTGCGCTCGAGTCTGGGCCCGGGATGGCGCAGCCCGCAGCCACGCAGAGATGGAGAGATGAAGACGGCTGCGGGAGGCGGAGGGAGAGAGGGGAGGCGGGGAGCTTAAAGGGACCGAGGCAGGGAGGGGGGAGCCTCAGACGTCCCCCAACTACCTCTCTCCTTGCTCTTGGACCACCTCTCGCCTCCTCTCACCCTGGCATTCAAGCCCTCAGTTTAGGCTCCCTCGGAGTTGTCATGGAAACGGGGAGGCAAGACCAGGAAAGGAAGGAGGGACTAAAGGAAGAAAAGATGGAGAAAGAACTCTCTAGAGTCTCCCCCTCTGAGACTGGCTGCGTTAGGAAGCAGGCGGGTGCTCAGTGGATTCATAGCCCAGTTGCTGCCAGCCGCGTTCACCCAGGCCCGTCTTCACCTTGTTTTCCCTCAGAGCCCCCTGCAGGTGCCTGGAGTCCTCCCAAATCCTTGGTCCTAGCTGTGTGTGAGAACTGTAGAGTTGAGGACAGAGATGGCCTGAGAGGACTTCCCGGGGTACACAGTCCTGACATGCCATCTTGGGGAGTCAAATGGGAAGGAAGCTCAGGTCTAGTCTGGAAGTACCAGTGCCCCTTTTTTGGACTGTAACTGACAGTGTGAAGTGGAACTTTATTTATTTATTTTAGCTTTTTGAGAGAAAAAGCCCTGCTTTTTAGTTCAGGCTGGGCTTTAAATCATTATGTAGCCCAAACTGGCCTGCAACTCATGATCCTCCTGCCTCAGCCTCTTGACTGCTGGGATTAGAGGTGTGTGTATTACCATGCCCGGCCAAAATAGAACTTTAAAAGTTAGATTTTTTTTTTCTCTTAGAGATAAGCTCCCTTCTGCTGAGCACATAAACAACACCCCCTCTTCCATTCTGCCTTAAAGTGACAACATTTGCAGATGCCAACCCCACCAGGCAAAAGCTGTTTTCTTTTTACAAGGCCGAGGACAAGGAACAGAAGACAGCTGGAAGCATTAAAGCAAGTGTGATGTGCCTGGCTGGTGGCCAAGTCTGCACTCTCAGCTCCTGGGAGGCTGAAGCAGGAGGATCAAATTCAGAGCCAGCCTGGGCTACACAGTGAGTTCAAGACCAGCTTAAACTTCACAATGAGATCCTGTCTCAAAACAAAACAAAAAAAAACCCAAGTCTGATCTACATTGTTCTTCTGTGGTCTCCCTTTCCTCCTTACTATAGAAGTCCCAGCTTTACTCACCTGACCAAATAGGCCCCTCCATCTCTTCAAAACTAGGTCCCCCCCACCCCAAGCAGGGATTAAACTCAGGCCCTTGTGCTTGTGAGGGAAGCACTTATTCCACTGAGCCATCTCCTCGGCCCTCAAAACTAGATTTGAAGGGGCCCGAGAGATGGCTCAGTAGATTAAGCGCTTGCCTGGCAAGTGCAAAGGCCTGAGTTCAATCCTCGCCCCCCCCCCGCCCCTCCCAAAAATAGAATTGAATAAAACCTTTTCTCCTTTATACCAAAACATATGGCCTCCTCTCATTTGTTCAGCGGACAGCAAACAAACCTACGTTGTGGAGACTCAGTAACAGTACTGGGAATCACCCCCAGGGCTTTTCTCTAAACTGCATTTCCTGTCCCCCACCCCCAAATTTGAAAGCCTCAGCTTGACTTGGCCTGAATTTTCCATCTTCACAGCGTGTGCTACCGCGCCGGGCTGTAGGCCTTCTTCCAGGGTGGAGGTGCTTAGGGAAAGGGATGCCTTTCCAGCACTTTTCCAGCACGTCGCTTTGGCCCTGCACGCTTGCTCCTTCCTCTGGCTTTTGGTTGGCATGAGAACTCCTGGGCAGGTCGGTGTCAAATCCCTTGCGCGAATCCGTCCCGCCCCCCAGGCGCCACTCCTCCGAGTCCCCTGAGGCTCAGCGGTGGCTGCGGTCTTGGCTTTCTGGAGGCGCGTGGGTGGTCGGGGATGGGGTGTTTCGGGGAACGAGGTGAGGCAGTCTACCAGCGAGTGTGCACCTGCGAGGGTTTTTGCCAAAACAGCCAGAGACCTCACTACCACCCCCAACCTCGCTCGGGGCGCTCGTTCTGCGGGCCTAGACCCTGCGGGTCCGCGTCGGTACCGAGGCCGCGGAGCCGGGGTCGTCGCCGGAGCCCGCCCAGGCCCCAAACGTTCAGATCGCGCTCGTCGCCTCTCCTTTTGGTTCTCCCCGCGTTTGCGTGAGCTCCGAATCCCTCACTGCCACCCATCCTCACTCCACACTCCTGAGCTTAGAAGGTTTTATTGGGAGACAGTTTCAGACCGAGCAAAGAGGTGCAGGCCTGCTGGGAAATCCTGTTCTCACAGGACGCGTCTTTATTGCTAAGTAAAAGCCCTGCTCGATGAGGCCTCACCCGCTCTTGGCGTCGGTAGGCGTCGCCCGACAGGTGCCGGGGCGGCGCGGAGGCCGGGAGGGCGCTGGTCGGAGCCGCCCCCCGAGCTGGGGACCGAGCGCCGGGTGGGAGCGCGTGACTCAGAGCCGCCCCGGGGCCCTCCGCCCCGAGGGTGGGTCGCCCCGGCCGCCGGCGAGCGGGGCTGCAGGAACTGGGTCGGGCCGCACTCAGCTCAAGGACCTCAAGGGCTCTCCGCGTCTGCTGCTACACGGACGCTACACGCACTTCAAGTCGGAGAGCTGTAAGGCGCCGCCCTGGGGCGCGCACCGGCTGCCGTCAGCCCCGGGCATCCCGAGAAAACTGCGAGGACCACCTTTCCCCAGCCCGCCCCTCGGGGACCCAGAAGTCCAGGTAGTGCGGCGGAGCCGGGCGCCTAGATCGGGAATTGGGGAGAGCTCAAGCGGAGGCAGCCAGATCCAGGGTCCCTGTCTGCAGCCAGGCCTGCCGAGGCCTCCTTTCGGTAACCAGCGCTCGTCCACGGCTGCTTCTCCCCGCGACCTGAATGGATCACTCTGCCTCCTCCCCAGCTCCCAGGGCGCAATGGAATATTCCATTGCCCCTCCGGTGCCCGCCGGCGTTGCTGCGGACGCTCGCCCCGTTGCCAGGGAAAGCCCCGGACGTGACGGCTCCGATCGACCCCGAGCGCCCCCCCCGCGCCGCGCCCCTGCGCGCTCCCCCCTCCCTCCCCCTTCCCGGGCTCCAGATAGGGAGAAGTAAACGGCGAAGCCTTTGACCCAGGCCAGGTGGGAGCGCCACTCGCCAGGGGGCGCTGCAGGGGGTCGCGAGAACCCCAGGGTGCGTGGCTGCAGGAAGATCCGGGCCCTGGCACCGCGTCTTGGGGCGGGAGTAGGGGGCGGGACTTGCGGCGCGCGTGGCGCGGCGTGCGAGGAGTGCGTTTGCGGGGAGAGGCCTAGCGTCGGAGCAGGCTGTCCCGGGGACCTCGTATGGGATCCGGACCCGCAGGCCTGACAGCCGGGCGCCGGAGGCGAGGCGCGCCCGTGCCACTTGCCTCACAGGCCGCCACTCCCCTTTCTCAGGCGGGAGCATGCTGGCGCTCTGGGGGCGCAGGCTCCCCTCCGTGTGGGTTCTGCTCCTGTGGTCACTGCTGCAGCTGCTGCCGCCGCCCTCAGCCCCTGCGCCCCACAGCGCGCCCTACAAGCCGGTCATCGTGGTGCACGGGCTGTTTGACAGCTCGTACAGCTTCCGCCACCTGCTGGATTACATCAACGAGGTCAGCTGGGACACCGAGTGGAGGGTTCTGGAGGTGTCTGCGGTGTCTGGGCAGGAGCAGGCAGCTGAAGCCCCTGCCAGGGTGCGCGGAGAGGTGGGGGACGGGATGGCTCAGCAGTCACAGTGGTCGCGGGGCTGCTGGTGGGGCAGGGTGGGCTGCGGGGTCCATGCCCAGTGGTCGCAATGCCCCCTTCCACAGACACATCCTGGGACCGCGGTGACGGTGCTCGATCTCTTCGATGGCAGAGAGAGCTTGCGGCCCCTGTGGGAACAGGTGCAAGGGTTCCGAGAGGCCGTGGACCCCATCATGGCAAAGGCGCCTCAAGGGGTGCACCTCATCTGCTACTCCCAGGGTAGGCAACTCCTCTCCCGACTCCCCAGCCCAGTTTGAGGCATGATCCTTAACTGAGAACATTTTAGCTCCTCCTTTGTGAACCACGTTTTTCCAGCCGCTGCCTGGTGCCCAAGCCTTTTTTTCTGAGGGCTTCAGCACCTGCAACTTGCCTCTGTGGCCCGGGGGAGGGAGGCTTCCTGCGTCACTGCAGCGTCTCTCCAGGTTGGCCATGATTCTTGACTCTAAGGACATGGGGCTATGAAGACCAGGCTGGAGAGCCCAGCATGGTAGCCCAGGCCTGTAACTCTAGCACTTGAGAAGCTGAGGCAGGAGAATTATGAGTTCAAGGCCAGCCTGGGCTATGTGACAAGGCCCTATCTCAAAACAAACAAAATCCCTCAAGCCAGGAATCCTAGACTCTAAATCTGATCCTGCCGCTTAGCTTTTGGCACAGAGCGTGTCTGCATTCTCTGGGTTCGGTCTCCTGTGCTGTATGTGTAGGGGGACCAAAGGCAGGGCTGCTGACCTGGCTGGCCTCAGCTCCCTGCCTGCCGCTGTGTTCTGTCCACAGGAGGCCTCGTGTGCCGGGCTCTGCTTTCTGTCATGGATGAGCACAACGTGGACTCCTTCATCTCCCTCTCCTCTCCACAGATGGGGCAGTACGGGGGTGAGTGGGCCCTGTGGGCTCCAGAGAAGGTTTAGGGGCTGGCACCCAGCACTTCTGGTCACTCAGCTCTGCCGTTCTCTTGCCAGACACGGACTACTTGAAGTGGCTGTTCCCCACCTCCATGAGGTCCAACCTCTACCGGATCTGCTACAGCCCCTGGGGCCAGGAATTCTCCATCTGCAACTACTGGCATGGTGTGTAGGGATCTGCGCTGGGTCCTCCATGGAGAGGGCATTCGGAGGGCAGTGCCTGCCGTCCCCTTCTACCATGGCCAGCTGACGGTTGTGACAGTTTTTGTTTATTGAGCCCTCACTGTTTGAACAAGCAGTATTTGACGTGCTTTGTGTCAGGGAGGCTAGTGTGAGGCGGGATTAGCCAGTCTTTTCTGTGAAGCGCCAGAGGGTAAACGGCTTGGCTCTGTAGGCACTCGGGCCCCTGTCACTCCTCGGTTCTGATGTTACAGCTGGAAAGCAGCCAGAGAACATAGATAAGCCAGTGCGTCCACCTTCCAGTGAAACTTTCTTCGTAGAAACTGCGGTGGGCTGGGCTTGACCTGAAGCCCTGCAGCTTCAGGTGGGGCTGAAGCCCATGGTGCGGGAACCAGGCTGCCTGGGTCTGAAACCTGAGTGTGCTGGGTGACTGGGTGAATTCTTCAGACGTGCTCTGACTCAGGTGCCCTCAGCTGGAGGATGCTGATAGAGCACACAGCTCGCGGGGAGTCGTCGGGATGAAGTATGTTAAGGGGTGCAGTGGCTCCTGAGCAGTACCTGATTCCTAGTTGGGGCTAGGAAAGAGGTTTTGGGGTTTTTCTTCTTTTTGGAACTCAGAGTCGTAGGCTTGCGAGGCAGGCTCTCAGGCCACTGAGCTATCTCCCCAGCTACGTAAGAGTTTTCTGTCGTGTTTGCAGTTGCCATTGTTGCGTCCGTTGTGCTGCTGTGCGGCCTGCGGCTGCAGCCTGCTCTTGACTGACCTTCCAGCCTGCAGCCTGGCTCCCCTCTCTGCCTCTCTGACTGTTGTTCTAACTGCTGTTCACATGCAGACCCCCACCATGATGACTTGTACCTCAATGCCAGCAGCTTCCTGGCCCTGATCAACGGGGAGCGAGATCATCCCAACGCCACTGGTGAGGCGTCCCGCCTGCTACCCCACATTCCCTTACTGCTTCAGCCACTCTGTCTCTCCAGTCCAGCCTGACCTCTGAGGCTAACTCAAGTTTCTCTTCTTCTACCCTGCAGCATGGCGGAAGAACTTCCTGCGTGTGGGCCGCCTGGTGCTGATTGGGGGCCCGGATGATGGTGTTATCACTCCTTGGCAGTCCAGGTACCATCTCCTGCCTCAAGCCTCTGGCTGTGGGCTCCTCTCCTTGTTCCGTCAGTGCCCTGCCCACAGACCTGTTTTGAAAATGCAAAACCTGAGGTCTGCACAGCCAGCTGCACCGGCTCCTGCTAACCTCCTCTCCATCCCTAACATCCTATCTGCTTTGTAGAAACTTTATGTTTTTGCTTTTAGTGTTAGGGATCGAACCCAGGGCCTTGTGCGTGCTAGGCAACTGCTTTACCACTGAGTTACATTCCCAGCTCTTACATAAACTTTGAACTTTGATATCATTATGGATTTATAGGACATTGCAACAGGTCCCAGGTATGTGTCACTTAGTCTCCCTTGCTGGTGGCATCTTCTGTAACCGAAGCACAGTGTCAAAAACCAGGAAATGGACACAGGTGTGACTGCTGTTTTCTCATGCCACCTACCCCCTCTCTATTACAAGGGGGCCAGGGAGATGGCTCTGTAGAGTAAGCGCTTGCCTGGCAAGAGCAAGGGCCTGAGTTCAAGCCCCTGGTTCCACAAAAAAAAAAAAAGAGAGAGAGAGATGAGATTTAAAAAAAAAAAAAAACCACTTAGTATTTATTACGAGGCTGCTATAACAGCCTTCAACCTCCACCTTCCTACTCAGGAAAATCCGCATTCCCTGGTACCCCAAGCTTGCTGTGGTGTCCTTCTAAAGTGATCTGAAATGTCATCTGCCTGCCTTAATTGACACTTAGCACCAGGTGCCGTCCTGGGCCCTGGGGCACAGCGGTGCGTGAGGAGAAGTCCCAGCTGGGAGCAGGTTAGGCTCTCAGTGAGTGCAGATGTGCGTGTTGCGTGGCAGTCGAGAAGGGAGAGGCGGATCTGCGGAGATCATCCAAGGGCCAGTCAGAGAGGTCCTTGAGGTGCTGAGCTGCCCAGGGCGGACTCCAACTTGGGGTCCTCTGGCTTCAGCCTCCCAGAGTGCTGGGATTACAGGAGTGCACTCTCACACCTACCTGATTTTTTTCTTTTTTATTAAGATGAGATACAGGTAATAATGGTTTGTAGCTCAGTAGAATGGGTGCCTAACACATGCAAGGCTATGGGTCAGAACGGCAGAAAAAAAATGTATAGGTAGGTAACAAAAACTACCATTGGAACCAGTTTTTTTTTTTGGTCCTTGAATGCCTTCAGGGCACTTTTGGCCAGCGGGAGAGTTGTGAGGTTCGAACTCCAGCAACCTGAGGCTGCCAGCTTTGTGGAAGCAGCCACTTAGAGGCCTGAGCTAGGCCAGGCCCCCTCTAACCAGTTTTAAGTTTAAAAGCTCCAGTGTGTGGCAGCAGGAACACTGATGCTGTCGTGCAGCCCTCACGACCGCCCGTCTCTAGTTCGTTCTCCCCAAGCTGAAACTCCACGCGCCTTAAACAGAAGCCCTGCTTCCTGCCACGCCCGGCACCCGGGGCCTTGCATTATTCTACTCTGGGTGAGCCAAGAAGGCAGTGGAGGGTTCGAGTGCAAAATTGTGACCTTGCTCACAGTATTATAGTGCTGCTGTTGTAAGGATAATCTTTTTTTTTTAATTTTTATTTATTTATGTATGTATGTGGGTGTGGGTGTGCATGTGTGTGTGTGTGTGTGTGTGTGTGTGTGTGGCCAGCTCAGCCCACCAGGGGGCAGGGCTGGCTGGCATGTGGTGCTGGGGATTGAACCGCGGTCCCTGTGCTTTGCCAAGCTTGTTCCAAGTAGGTGCTTTAGACCACTGAGCCATCTCTCCAGCCCCTGTAAGGATAATCTTTTGACCCTGCAGTTCAGCGCGGCCTTGCATGCATCATGTAGCCCAGGCTGGCCTCAAACTTAGCAGCGGAAAGCAGTCCTCCTGCCTCAGCCTCGCGAGCGCTAGGATTACAGGTGTCCACCACCACGCCTGACGAGGGCTGGGTTTATATGCACTGTCTCACTCTGCCTGCAAAGCATCCTTGTAGTGGTAGTCACAGCTCATAGTTATAGCATTCCCAGGCCCCGAGGCAGAGGTCAGTACTTTTTGTTGCTGAGCATGGCGGCCAGTCCTGGAATTCCAGCACTCTGAGGCAGGAGAATGGCAAGTTGAAGCCCAAGTGGGACAATTTGGACTTAGACCCTGTCTCAGAACAAAACAAAACACAAAGGGCAGAGGATGCAGAGTAGCTCAGTGTGAAGGCCTTGGATTAAAACCCTGGCATTGAGAAAAGAAAGAAAAGGGAAAGTACTTCTTTTTTTTTTATTTTTTTATTTTAAATTTTATGTGTGTGTGTGTGTGTGTGTGTGTGTGTGTGTGTGTGTGTGTGTGTGTGTGTGTGTGTTTGTGTGTGGCCAGCTCAGCCCACCAGGGGGCGGGGCTGGCTGGCATGTGGTGCTGGGGGATTGAACCGCGGTCCCTGGGCTTTGCTAAGCTTGCTCTAAGTAGGTGCTTTAGACCACTGAGCCATCTCGCCAGCCCCGAAAGTACTTCTTTGTGTATTAGCCAATTTACCCCTCCTGACAACCCGCTGGGGCAGTGGGAAATGTGAGTGGGGTGAGTGCTTGCATGTATTCATGGGTGCCTATTGTGAAGCCAGGCTGTCTGGCTTGTACCTACAGTGCCTTACTTCTCTTTGATAGAGGTATTCTCAGATGGGACAAGCAGATAGGTAACAGGGTCCCACATGGACCTGAGAAGAATGTGTCAGAGCTGGGGTTCAAGTTCAGGCCGGTTCCCCTCCCATCCCTTGCAGATCACACCCAGCTCCAGCACGCCACCCTCCTTGGTATTTTGAGACAGGGTCTCACTATGTAGCCCAGGCTGGCCCCGAACTTGGCAGCGATCCTCCTGCTTCAGCCTTCTGTGTGCTGGGTTTACAGGCAAGCGCTCCCCACGCCCGCTCCCAGGACCTCTCTGGTATGTGCTGCCTTGTGTGGTGGTGCACGCCTGTAATCCCAGCACCCTGGCGGCTGAATCAGGAGGGGTGCTGGGAGTTTGAGGCCATCCTGGGCTACACAGTGAGTGAGGTCAAACCAGTCTGAACTACATGGCCCAGACCCTGTCTCAAACCACATACACACAAGAAGACCTTTTTTATTTTGAAGTGTCATTTTGGGAGCTGAGGATGTGGCTTAGTGGCAGGGTGCCAACCCCCTGTACCACGCACGCGTAAAAGTTACCAGAACAGAACAAAGCACTCTTGTGTGCTCTTCCCCTCGACTGCCCAAGTGTTAACATTTGTACAGTCACGTCTTTTCTAGCCCCCTAAATATATATTTGTGTTACTACTTAATTATCTCTGCAGATGTGCCAAACATGAACATAATAAACATTTGCTGTGTGGCCACCTTGAGAATAGCGTGCGGGCGTAGTATCCAGACAGCGCAGCATGTGTATCACTGACGCAGCAGGCTGTATGTCTTTTTCTTTTTTCTCTTTACCCCCCCCCCATGGAGAAATCAGTGTGATTTTCTCTAAGCAGCTCATCCAGGCAGCGCACTGGCTCATGCCGGAAAGCCCAGTCACTCCGCAAGCTGAGGCAGGATGATCACAGATTTCAAGACCAGCCTGTGCAACTTAGTTTTTTTTTTTTTTTTCTTTGGTGGAACTGGGGATTGAACTCAGGCCCTTGCGCTCGCCAGGGAAGTGCTTATTCTATTCAACCATCTCGCTGGCCCTGCAACCCAGTGAAACTGTCTCAAAATACAAAACCAGATGAAGGGCAGGGGCTGGAACTCAGTGGGAGAGTGCCTTGGGTCCCATCCCCAGTACAGCCAAAGTGAACCAGACGTGGTGGCACCTGCCGGCAGTGCCAGCGCTTGGATGAGGCAGGAAGACTGAGTTTGAGGCCAGCTTGGGCTACACAGTGAGTTCAGGGCCAGCCTAGTGACCCTGTTTTAAACAGTCCCAAAAGAAACCCCCCAAAAAACAACAACAAGCCCAGGATGTTGGGGCTGGGGAGATAGCTCAGAAGGCCCGAGTTTAATCTCTGCTTCCTGGGCTGGAGAGATGGCTCAGTGGTCTAAAGCACCAACTTCAAACAAGCTTAGCAAAGCACAGGGACCCCGGTTCAATCCCCCAGCACCACATGCCAGCCAGCCCCGCCCCCTGGTGGGCTGAGCTGGACACACACACACACACACACACACACACACACAAATGTTAAAAAAAAAAAAAATTAAAAAAAAAAAAAAAAATCTCTGCTTCCGCAAAAAACAAACAAAAAAGAAAAGAAAAAAGAAAACACACCAGGATGTTCTTTTACACAGATATATCACAATTTTTAAAAGTAAGAAATTGACACCAAGACAAAGAACACTGAGCACTGTGGTCCGCAGACGCTGCTCACGTTTCCTTACTGTTTGGGAGGGTTTTTGCTTTGTTTTATCTCTTTGAGACTGGGCCTCACTCTGCAGCTCAGGCTGGGCTTGGACCTCTCAACGATCCTCCTGCCTCAGCCTTCAGTGCCAGGATTACGGGTGTGCTGCACCACGCCCCCTGTGGGGGGATTCTTGTTTTATTTTTTTTGAGAGGAGGTCTCAGGATGTGGCCTTGAACTCTCTTATGTCGCCCTCTGGGCCCCTCCTCACAGGGATCCCCCTCCCTCAGCCTCCCAAGTGTGGGGATTACAGGCATGCATCACCACGCTCAGTCTCTGTTCTCACAGAGAAAATATATCCAGTGCGGGATTCAGCTCAGTCACGTGTTGCACTGAGTCTTTTCATCTGGAATTGCTGTTTAGTCTCTGGCCGGAGTGTTGTGCTCCTGCGGCCCTGGGACCGAACGCAGGGCCTCTGTAGGGAGCTGCGTCTCCAGCCCTCTCTTCAGTGTTTAGAGACAGGGCCTACCCCAGTCATTAGGTGGCCCGGCTGGCCTGGACTTTGGGGGCCTCGACTTAGGGAGCCTCCTAGAGCGCTGGGATTGGGGAACGCCAGGCCAGAGCCATTCCCCGTAGACTGCCCCTTGGCTTGGGTAGATGAGGGTTTCCTCCTAGTTGGTCAGGCTGTGTGGCTTAGGGGGTGGCAGGTACAGCGGTGCAGTGGCACCCTCAGGACAGCTGCTGGCTGGGAGGTGTAAGCTTCCCCAGCAGGTTCTGGGCTCCTGACAGCGCCTAGCTCACCTTGTGACCTCCCCCCATCTCTCTGCAGCTTCTTTGGTTTCTATGACGCCAATGAGACAGTGCTGGAGATGGAGGAGCAGCCGGTGAGCCCCTTGGGACTCCCTCTTTCCCTGGCCCACTTCTGTGGTCGCCCTTCCTGCTACAGGGCTCACCCCTCAGGGCAGGCGGGACCATGGGCGCCCTTGGTGCTCATAGGGTCTCCCTCCCTGTCCTCCTTCCCACTTTCCTGGCCCTTCCTTCACCACTTGGAAGGTTTATCTACGAGACTCCTTTGGGTTGAAGACTCTGCTGGCCCGGGGAGCCATAGAGAGGTGCCCAATGGCGGGGATCGCCCACACGGCCTGGCACTCCAACCGTACCCTGTATGAGACCTGCATTGAGCCGTGGCTCTCCTGAGGATGCCTGGGTGACCAGGAGGTCCCCAGCCTGAGACTGGGTGGCAGCCATGGAAGGCGGACCTCAGGCCCTGGCACACCCGGGACCCCCTCATTGCCCCCACTCTGCCCCCCAACAACCAGGGCTCCCCAGCCCCCTCCGCTCCTCTAAACCATGATCCTTCCTGGCGTGCCTACCTCATGCCCGCTGTCTTGGGGGGCAGCGCCTGTGCCCCCTTTCTCCCAAGGCTGAGGTTAGGAAGTGAGAACCAGGCCTTTAACTCGTGGCTGTTCTGCTGCTGCTGCTGCTCCGATCTGGCTGTACAGGAAGAGACCCAGCCCTGTCCTGGTACCACAGGGGTCTCCTTCCAGGCCACTCAGGACATTTTTAGCTTCTCCCCACGTCCTTTGTCCTTGGAACGTCCTTGTCATCAGCCCTCCCAGCCCCCTAGAGCAACGCCTATGAGCGTGGGGTTCTGAGCTCCCCTATGGGGACAGTTCCGTTCTTGAAATGTCAGTGTTGGGGAATATCTGTGGCCTGTGCGGCCCATCTCAGGTTTGGGGATCCCCCAGTCCCTATGATCAGTGTTGGGGTTCCCCCTGGGAGCCTAGTTTGAGGCCCCAGCCCCTTTTAACCCTTGAATGGGTATTCTCCTATATTTATGGAAATAAAGTTCCATTTCCTCAGCATGGTTTGGCTTATTTCCAGGGGAGGGGTCCGGGCTCACCAGGGTGGGCGGGCACAGGAGCTTGGGGCCTGGGTGCCTGGTCCGAGGTGGGGTAGGCACCCCCTTGGCGTTTCCGCTCTCTCAATGCCCATTCTGTGCAGGTTCCTGATTCTCTGCGGGTTCTTTCCTGCTGCAGACAATTCTCTTCCTGTCGCAGCCTAGGACTAGGGGCCTGAACCCCGGGCTCTTTTGGTGTGGGCCTCAGCCTCACAGTGGAATGTCTGCGCCACCCCCAGGCTAGACGAGGGGGCTGAGGGTCAGGGTGGGCATTTGTTGTGCCCCTTCTCGACCTTCATAGGCCAGAGCTGAGTGAGGGGCTGTACAATGAGCCTCCTTCTCCTTGAAAAGAGGCATTTTGGTGGAGACAATAGGGCCCTGTCTGCTCTGGCATGGGGGGCGGTGGCTGACTCAACTCTGCACCCCTCGAGCCCTGACAAATGTCATCGAGCGATGGGGGAGACTTTCCCCTGGGTGCCTCGGGCTGCCCCCTGCCCTTTGTGCAGACTCGCTTGCTGCTTTTCCCCTCATCTTCCCCCAGAGGCTGACCTGCTTGGCCTCTGCCAGCCTGGCCTCTCCCTGCAGTCTGTGGTGGCTGGAAAGGCCCGGGGGTACTGGTGTATAGAGCTGGGAGCCCCTGTTCATGTGTGGAGTCCAGAATCTGAGGTTTCTGAGAGCTGGGAAACATCGCCTAGTGGGCCCTTGTTGGCGGGGAGGGCATGGGACTTGACCCCAAGGAGCCCACCAGGCTGGAGCTGAGGAGGCTGTGGGAGGGGGCAGGGACTGGGACTCCCAGCCCCTCCCTTCCTCCCCTGCCTGGCAGGCCCACAGCAGTCTGAGCTGCTGCTGCCGAGGTGGCTGCCTGCAGTCTCCCTGGAGAGCAGGGAGCCAGGTGGGAAGGCGAGGAGCTGGGGGGAGAATTTCAGTGCTGGGAGGAGTGGGGGTGACTCAGCTTGGGGGTGTGGGGGGGAGGTGACCTCTGAGCAAAGGTGCATGGATGGCCTGGCTGGGAGAGGGCAAAAGGTGTTCAGTGTAAGCGATCCTAGCACTCGGGAGGCTGAGGCAGAAGGGTTACTGTGACTTTTTAAATTTTTTGTCTTTTTGGGAGAGGGTCTCACTGTGCAGCTCAGGCTGATCTTGAGGTCATTTTGTAGCCCAGGTTGGTCTTGAACTCAGTGATCCTCTTGTTCAGCCTCCCAAGATTGCTGGTATTACAGGCGTGGGCTCCCACTGTAACTTTAATGCCACAGCCTGGATTACATAGTAAGACTGTCCCAAAAAAGGGGAAAGAAATGTGGAGGCGTTAGGTGCTCAGTGAGGCTGTACCAGTGCCGTCTGGGGTTCTGAACTAGGAAGCTGTAAGGAGCATGTTATGGAGTGCTGAGGCTTTAGGCATGTGTGTGCCCCGCCAGGGTGAGCAGAGCCCTGGGAGAGGATGGGGTGCAGGAGGGGTGTGCTGGGGTGCGGGCCTGTGGGGTGCTGAGTGGGTCTGTTGAATGCACATGCGGTGGGCACACATCTAGTGGCTGGTGTGTCAGAGTGAGTGTCCCGACTCCCTTAGCATACATCAGGCGCCAGCAGTGTCCTGGGAGGGCGGGCTGCAGACTGGAGCAGAGGAAGGGGCGTCCTGTGCCCTCCTACCTGTAGCCTTGTAGCCCTTGGCGTGGAGCCACAGCAACCATGGCGTCCTGGCCTGAGCTGCGGACTCTCTTAAGTGGACTTTCATTCCTGGTGCTGCTGCTGTCAGGCGAGGGGGCCACGGGTGGACCCCGCAAGCAGAGGTGACTGAGAGGGGTGGGCCGGCATGGGGGCGGCGCTTCACAAGCCAGCCTTGAGGGTTGGAGTGGGTAGGTCAGAGGGGGCCCTGGCTGGCGAAGGCGGGGCGCATGCAGTGTTTCCCACCTCCTCTTCCCGCATGGGAGCAGACAGGGGGTCTGCTCCAAGCAGACGCTGGTGGTCCCGCTCCGCTACAATGAGTCCTACAGCCAGCCAGTGTACAAGCCCTACCTGACCCTGTGCGCAGGGAGGCGCATCTGCAGCACCTACAGGTGAGGATGGGGAGCCGGGAGCCACCGAGACTCAAGCAGAATCTGCACCCGTACCCTGACCCTGCACCCAGGCCCTGACCCTGCGTCCTAGGACCACGTACAGTGTGGCCTGGCGGGAGGTGCGGCGCGAGGTGCAGCAGACCCACGTCGTGTGCTGCCAGGGCTGGAAGAAGCGACACCCAGGGGCGCTAACCTGTGAAGGTGAGGCCAGGCCTTCTGGGCGGGCGGGCGGGCCTGGAGCTGGGGTGCCCTTGGCAGGTCGGGCCAGGTCCCAAAGTCCTGTACAACCCTGCAGCTGTGTGCGCCAAGCCCTGCCGGAACAGAGGTGTCTGCGTGGGGCCTGACCAGTGCGAGTGCGCCCCAGGCTGGGGCGGAAAGCACTGCCACGTGGGTGAGTGTGGCGCAGAGCGGCGGGGTCTCCGCGCAAGGCCCCGCCCCACCCCGCCGCTGTCTCCTTTCCCCTATTAGATGTGGATGAGTGCAGGGCCGGAGTCTCCACATGCTCGCATCTCTGTCTCAACACGGCCGGCAGCTTCACCTGCGGCTGCCCTGACGGCCAGACGCTGGGCCCCGATGGGCTCACTTGCACTCAAGACCCTCCAGGGAACCCCACCAGTGCCAGCATCCTCAGTGTGGCCAGTGAGTGGGTACTAGGTCCGGGGAGGCGGGCCAGCGGCACCGGGACAGGGGTTACATTCTCTGCGCTGCCCTAGTTAGGGAAGCAGAGGAAGCCGAGGAGAGCGCCCTGAGGCGGGAGGTCCGCGAGCTTCGTGGTCGCCTGCTGCGGCTGGAGCAGGTGAGCTGAGCCCAGATCAAGCCCTCAGAGCAGGAGCTGCAGGCAGGGCCTACAGCCTGAGGTTTTCCTGCCCGCTTAGTGGGCCACCCAGGCTGGGGCCTGGGTCCGCGCGGTGCTGCCCATACCGCCCGAGGAGCTGCGGCCTGAGGAGGTGGCCGAGTTGTGGGGCCGAGGCGATAGGATCAACTCTCTCAGCGACCAGGTGCTGCTGCTGGAGGAGCGGCTGGGTGCCTGTGAGTTCTGCTCCAGCTGTCCCGGCTTCCCAGGAGCCCCTTGTGGGTCACTCCCCTATCTCCGCGTCACTAACCTCCTCTGCCAGGACCCTGCACCCTTCCTAGTCCCACTCATCACTGGGAGAGGGCGGCAGGTGGCCCCTTGCAGCTCCATATCCGCTCCTCTCCTTGCTACCAATCAGGCTCCTGCGAGGACAACAGCCTGGGCCACGGCCTCAAGCGCAGATAAGAAGTCCTGCAGGTCCCCAGCCCTAATTCGTGCAGAAATCGGCTAGACTAATCTGCAGGGATCGGCCACCTGGCGCTGCAGATAAGGCCGTCCCGACCACGGAACAAGGAGCCGCGCGCACCAGGCTGGCAGCCGTGCTGCCGCCTGGTGCAGCCTGTGTGGGCCCCGGCTGCTTCCTCAGCACCTGAACAATGTGGAGAGAAGGCACCCACATTTTCCTCTCTTTATTCTTGCTTGCTTGCTGTTATCCAGATAATTAATAAAAACCAACTACACAGAATTGGGCCCCACCCTCTCCTGTGTTCCCAGCCCACCTCCTGGTTGCAGGAACAGGTCTGGAGGGGGAGGCTGGGATGGGCAATGCCACTTCTGGGACATGAAAGCCGGCTCCGAGGGGGAAGCCTCAAAACAAATAAAAATAAATTAAATGCCCTCTGGCCCCTCCAGCCGGGTCCAGGTCTTTTCCCAGGTCCCCAGGAGCAGTGAGCACAGCACCCGAGGTCTGCCGCCTCCCCACAGTCTGGGCAGATGGCACTGGGGGCTAGGTGGGTCTGGACCACAGGAGAATTGTACCACGGACTAGGGAAGTGGGAGCTCGGAGACCGAACTGGGCGCCTGGCAAGGGCAGGGGTGAGACCCTCAAGTTAGAAGAGTCTGGCCTCACTGGCGGAGTGCCCGGCAGGAGTGTGAAGGTGTCAAGGCAGCTTCCCAGGCTGAGTGTCCTCCACGCACCGGGGAAGGGGTGGATTGCTCCACAGAACGATGAGTCCACTGGCCCGTGTGGAGTGGAGTTGGGGGAAGGCAAAGGGTGAGTCCACCAGGGAAGGAAAAAGATGGACCATTCTCCACCCTGTGGCGGGTGAGCCACCCAACGATTGGGAGGGCGGCCACAGACAAGATGGAGGGAGGTGGGGGTCAGTGGGGACTGCGGTGAGGCAGGGGAGCCCACAGGGGCAGGAGGGGTGGGGGGAACTACTGTGTCCACGTTCACTTCAGAAGTCAAGGACTGAAAGGACAGCAAAGGGAGAATGAATGGAGGAAGTGGGGCTGGCCTCCTCAGGGCCACTGGGTTGGTGGGGACAAGGAGGAAGAGGAGGACAGGTGGGTAGGAGCTCAAGACCGGGCCTCGCCCAAGCCTCCGGGCTTCTTCAAGCAGTCACCACCTCCCCGGCCATCGGTGGAGATTTCCCGGAAGATGGTGAGCATGGAGTGCCGGACTCCGTCAGCCAGAGCAGGGACGTCATCCGGCGTCAGCCCTTCTGTGGGCACTGGTGGCAGTACCCGCACCTGACACCGCCCTGGCACGGGCAGAGGTGTGGTCAGGGCGCCCTCCCAGCTGGTCCCTCCCGGTGCCCCCTCCCTCCGCCAGCCAGGTGCGCCCGAGGCGTGCCCAAGGCCTCCTGCTCTGGTGCAGCATTTCTTGCTGAGTGTCCTGCCCTGCAGCTCTGCACACAGGGTGCCTCTGTGCACAGGGACGGGCCCTCCTGGAGAGACCAAGTTCTGCCAACCTAGCACCGTACGCCAGGCGCTTGGCAAGCACTCCGTGCTGACATAGGTGATCACACAGATGCCCCCTCCCCGCCTGGCAGGGACCTCCCCTGGGCCTTCCGGGGCACACCCTGGCCCTCACCTGAGGTGAAGCGGCGTTCTTTCTTGCAGTAGAAGTCTCGGTAGGAGGACATGACTATGGGCACGATGGGAACCTGGGGGAAGAGGAAGCTGCTTGGTCCACTGCTGTTCCGAGACCAGGCCTCTTCAGGAGAGGAAGAAAGGGCAGGGCAGGGCCCGGCTAGGCCGAGCAGCACAAGGTTGCAGCTGTTACCTGGGCCTGGACTGCAAGATGGAAGGCGCCACGTTTGAAGGGCAGCATGGAGCCATTGTGGTTTCTTGTTCCTTCGGGAAAAACCCAAACTCTCACCTGGGGGAGAAGAGCGTAGAGCTTTGCCCAGGTGCAGGGGCCCACAGTGACTGTGCTGCCCCATGCCGGCCGAGCACGTGGCGACTCACGTCCTGGGTGAGCAGGGTCTGGGCCACCTCTGACATGACACTGATAGCATCCCCCGTTCGCTTCCGGTCGATGAAGATGACTCCGGCCAGCCAGCAGGCCAGCCCGGCAGAACCCGCCCACAGCAGTTCGCGCTTGGCAATGGGCACGCAGCGGCCTGGCAGGACCTCCATCATCCCTGGGGCAGGGGTGGAGGTAGGATTAGAGGGTGACAGTGTCGCAGCAGGCAGTCATCCCACAAAGGCCTCTCCCACGTGGGCAGGGACTGGAGCTAAAGTGATTAGGGACATAGGTACCCTGCTAGGTGAGGGCAGATCTCCCCCAGGACGACCCAGGGGCAACAGCTCACAGCAGAGAGTGTCGGGAAGTACCAAGGGGTCATGAATGGGACCTGGGCCATGATGGGGTCTCACCAAGCAAGTCCAGGGAGCTCTGGTGGTTGGAGACCACGACATAGGGCTGCGAGGGGGGGAAGTGGTGAGTCCCCCGCACCTCTACTCGGATCCCATACAGGTATTTGATGTGGAGCAGCATCAGGCGCAAGATCCTGTGGGTCAGAAACACCAGCCCCGTGGGACCCACCAAGGCCCTCCGCAGGCCCACTCTCCTTGCCCGGCTAGCTTGGCTGTTTCTGTATCTCTCACCCCCTTCGCACCCCTGGAAGCACTTGGTCTCTTCTGCAGGCACTGGGCCGCTCCCCCACAAACCCACCACCCCTCACCACCCCCCCTCGCCCCTCACTTCATGTTCTCCACGTTGCGTCCACGCACGGCGCACACAGGGATGGCCAGCACGGCCAGGAAGAGGATCCAGCCGTTGTAGAAGGCCATCTTGAAGAAGTACTTGGCACTGGGGGCGCAGAACCACAGGGTGGGCAGCAGGAGCAGCAGCAGCAGCAGCAGCAGCAGCAGCGGCGCTGTCCACGGCCCTGGCCACAGCTCCATCCTGGCCACCTGTGGGGGGCAAGGGCCAGGCCTGGTTTCTACGAGGAGTGGGAGGGAGGGTGGCAAAGGACGCCCAGTGACGCGGGCTGGGTTTTCGCTGAAACCGTCCTAGGGAGGCCCTGTAGGGTGGGGCTTAGGACAGCGCCCCCATCTCCCCGAGGGTGCTCTGTACACTCAGAGAGGAGGAGCATCAAGACTCCAAGACCTGCAGCTGCAGGCATGGATCGCAGAGGGCGAGCAGCGCTGAGGCTCGTGACTGCGGCTGCAGGGGGTCTCACGGCAGCCTAGAGTGGCCACCAGCGGCGGCTGCAGAGCCCCTGAAATCCAGCCCGGCCCGCGGGGCTATGCAGAATATGTAAAATACACATCCGATTTTAAAGACCGAATGAAAAACAAAATCATAAAAAAAAATTTATAAATCATGAAGTATCCTAATAATCTTTTATATCGATTTCTTTTGGATATATTAGGTTCAATAAAGTTTATTATTATTATTATTATTTTTTTGCGGAACCAGGGATTGAACTCAGAATAAAGTATATTATTAAGATTAATTTCATTGATTCTTTCTTACCTTTCTTAATATAGTTGCCAGAAAATTAAAAATGTGCCTAACACTCTGTTCCTACTGGGCAGTGCTAATCTATCTAGCCCTATGTTAAACCCTTACATACAATCCAGAGGATTATCTATTAAAAGTATTATTAGTATTGTATGCTCAGGGAGATTAAGGAACTTACCTGAGGCAATACAGCTCCTAAGCAGCAGTTTCTACATTAAACCTAAGCAGCCTGGGCTCCTAAGCCCTTATTGATGTTGTCACCTGTGTGTGTGTGTGTATAAATGCACACATATGGTAGTTGTACTGGCAGTGACACAAATGCCTGAGGAGGGCTGGTGAGATGGCTCAGTGGTCTAAAGCACCTACTTAGAACAAGCTAAACTAAGCAAAGCACAGGGACCGCGGTTCAATCCCCCAGCACCACATGCCAGCCAGCCCTGCCCCCTGGTGGGCTGAGCTGGCCACACACACACAAAATAAATAAATAAATAAATAAATATTTTAAAAAAAAAAAAAAATGCCTGAGGAAAAGTGACAAGAAAAAAAGCTCACACTGGGGCTGGGGAAATGGCTCAGTAGAATAAGCGCCTCCCTGGCAAGCGCAAGGGCCTGAGTTTAATCCCGGTTCTGCAAAGCAAAGCAAAACAAAACAAAAAACAAACAAAAAAACACAAAACCCCAACTCACATTGTTGAGGCAAACATACACACACACAAACTGACATGGCTTCACACACACACACACACACACACACACACCCCATACAATTTATCAGTGGTGACAGATAAAGGAACGTGAACACATACCTCCAACAGCCTCTCCTATACAGCCTCTTCTGTTCTCAGACACCCCCAATCCTATTTCTGCACACAGGCAAGCCAACCCCACCGCTCTCCCAGCTACACGGTGGCCAGGTGCGCAGGCAGCAGGGTAGGGCCTCGCTGTATGAGCAAGAGGCAGAGAAAGGAAGCAACATCATGCCACCCGCTCCAGGAAAGGCCAAGCAGAAGAGGTGTGGGCACACAGAACCTGCCCTCCAGGTTCTGCTTCCTTCTTCCATTCTGCTGCCCTTCTGGGGACAGGGTCACAGCTGATACTGGTGACCTATCAGAACGTTACTGCCTACTAGGCCAGAGGCCGGTGAGAAGTGAGGGGTAAAGGAAGAGGCAGAGGAGGAAGCAGGTGCCACAGGCGTCCCGCTCCCTGCAGGAGCTGCTCTAACAGAGACCAGGGCATTCCCGGCTCCACTCAGGCCCTTTCGCACCACTAACTTCTGCTTGCATCTCCAACCACTTCTCTCCTCGCCCTAGCAAGCTGGCTTTAGTTCTTCAGGTGCCCTGCGATCCCCCATGCTCTGGCCTGTCCCCTTGGTCACGCTCTTCTCCTGGGCAGGGGCGCCCTCGGTGTCTCCCCTCTTGCCACTCTCAGCCCAGGTCTGAACCCCAGCAGGCCTGTGGGTTTGTTGTTCTCGCTGTTTGTAGGCCTGTGTTTTCATTACAACTTTTGTCTTGATCAGTGCTTCTCAGAAATACAAATTCTTGGACCTCACACTCGAATACACTCAATCAGAAATTCTGGGCACTGGGCCAAGCAGTCTGTATCCTGACAAGCTCTCCAGGTAAGTACGGTGGGAACTCAGGTTTTGGAAGTGCTGACAGGTTAGCCGAGCGTGGTGGCACCTGTAATCCCAGCACTCCAGAGGCTGAGGCAGGAGGATCACTGCAAGTTCAAGACCAGCCTGGGCTACAAAGTGAGCTCTCGGCCAGCCTGAGCCGCATAGCGAGACCCTGTCTGAAAACGACAAAGAAGTGCTGACGGGGAGAGCACGCCACAGCAAGAGGCTGCTCACTGGCACCCTGCTCAATGCTGCATCTTGAGGACAGGGGCTTGGTCCTCCCTCTAGTGCCAGGAGACGGTAGACTAGGTGCTCAATAAACACTGGCTGAACAGACTACAAGCTGTCCACACACCTACAGCCACAATTAATGACTTGTCCTGACCATGAATCAGGCAGCTACCCTCTTGAATGGTAACTGAAAGGCGCATGCACTCAGCCTATCCTGAACATACACGTGCGTGGCCACAGGGACGGCAGAGTGACAATCACGATCCTCTCACAGGAGAGAATGGGAACAAAGTACCACCAAGCGGGGATGTTGCTGGCATCAAATAGGGGCAGGCCAATGGCACAAAAGGTGGGGTGCAAATGTCACAGGGTTCAGAGTGGGGCTGACAGACACTCTGACAAGTAGAGGTCCACATGCCCAACTACACACAGCTCCTGGAGACACCATGTGCAGAGACAGCCAGAGCTCACCGAGGTAAGGGGAGGGTCCTGGGGCCTTGGTGACCATGTCACCAGCTCTATTAAGTGATCCAGTCAGACACAAATGTCCAAGGATTTCTAAACACAATGAAATGCCAACTGGTCTATGCTGGAAATGAATGTATGAAATAAATGGTAGGTGTGACCAGAAGCATGCGCACTACGGTTATGTCACAGTAGGACTGCTGGGGACGTTTCCGTGAACACACATGCGAAGAATCCTGTTTAGGAAAACAGGCTGACCCAATCACCATGGGACAGTACTGTGTGTGCTGGTCCCTAGGCCTTGGGAATCCCACTAGGCGGACTGCAGACAGCGGGACCATGGCCATCCAATGAGACCCCAAACCAAATCAGGTATGTAAGCTTTACAAGCTAAGATCAACATGCAAGAGCAGAAAACATGTGAAACATGAAAGCATAGGATAGGTACAAAAAAAAAAAAAAAAAATCCATGCAGTCCTGGAACACCTCAAAACTACAAGTGAGATATGAACACGATATGCGAATGGACAATTCTGCAGGCAAAAAATCATTTTTCTGCAGCCTATGGCTTGACACAGGGGCAGGGGAGCTGCACACGGGCCATTACCATGTCAAAGGCGCAGTCAATACAAAAAACACAGCCCCCCACAAGGCATCGAGATGTCCCTCAGGAAGGGCCTCGTGGAGGGAGGGCCGTGAGAAATGCGGGGCTCTGCGCCTAAGGCAAACAGGGGCGCCCGAGGGCATGCCCAGCAAGCAATTCCGCTGGTCTTCTCACCAGCCCCCAAAAGTCATGTGGGGCCAAAGGGCAGGAAAAGAAACTGGGGGAATCTACAGGGAATTCCCTCCGCAGACGCTCGTCCACGCCCCCGGCCCCGGCCCCGGGTCGAGTTCAGCGCTCCTCCCAGCCGCCGCTCTTCCATTCCTCCTCCAGGCCCCTCGGCGCTCCCCGGCCCCCTCGCCCCGCCGGCCCCCGGCCTATCCCACCCCGGCCCCGTCCGGTCCCCCTCGGCGCCCTCCTCCCGCCGCCTCCCGCCCCTCTCCCGCCCACACCTCAAGGGGTGGGGGGCCTGGGGGGCCGGCCCCCTCCCCAGCCAGGCTGCGGCGGCGGTGGTGGCGGCAGGCTGTGTCTCTGTCTCGGTCGGGGTGTCGGTGCCAAGGGGGCGACAGGACTTGGGGGTATCCTAGCCCCGGCCGATGGAGGGGAGGTGGGAGTGGAAGGCTGGGCCCATAGCGGTAGGAACGGCGGGGCCGTCCCCCCGGCTCCCTCCCGCCCGCCCGCCCGCCCGCCCCGCTGTCTCTCCGGGCAGGGGCCGCTGCCGCCGCTATCTCCCCCACCCCTCCCTGGCCGCGGGTTTCCGGGGCTGGCCAGGAAGTGGGGGGCGGCGATGGGCGGCCGGCGCTGCCAATCGCCTCTTAGAGACCCCGGCGTCCCGCCCCCACCCGCCGGCGTCCTCCCGCCGGCTCCGCCCCAGGCGCGCGGCTCGGCTGGCCTCCGCCTGTAGGTGCATCTTTTTATGCTCGGAGCCCTTTCCGCACCGACGCCTGCCTGCGAAGCGCCTGCCGCCGCTGTCTTCCCCCCTCGGCACATGCTTTCCCCTCATCCCAGCTCTCCTCTAGCTGCCACATTTCCTTCGTCCTTTTCTGATTGCTTCGTTTCTCCTTAACTCCAGCCTCTGTACTTCGTCTGTCCAACTCCCAACTCTTAAACACCCCACCCCCGTCCGATTCCATTTATCAGGCGCCTGCCAGCTCCCAAGCCCGAGGTTCACCTCCTCTTTCGCTGCTTCAGGGCTCCATCGCTCCCCCTTCGCCCTGCAGCCCTCTGCTCGGATCCCGTTGCCCTTTGTACCTGCCCCCACCCCCGGCCCAGCAGTCCGCCTCCCTCCTCCGCGTACCCTCTGGCCCACTCCATTTCCCTTCCTCGCTTTCTTTCCCAGTTCCTTTGCATCAGCCTCCTTACCCTGAAGCAACCCCTCTCCCCAACACAGGATATTTTCTAGCTGTGGAAATTGGGCATTAAGGCTTTGCATGTGCGCGCGAGCGCGTACTGATTCCTCGGCTAATTGTTGCCCCCCTTAACTTCGTAGCCCTGCGTCCAGCTCTGCGGTGCCTGCTTTCCTCTTCCATATTCCCGTGATCTTACCTACTCCTCTCTCCTAGTTCTCCATGTCTCCCTTTCAATACCTTCCTTCCTAGCCCTCGTTGGGTTTTACATCCACCGTCCTTCTCTACACAGCTACCCGTTTCTCAAATCTTATATTTTTCCCCCAAGACAACGCCTTGCTGTGCAGCCCAGGCTGGCCTTGAACTCGCGGAGGTTCTCTTGCCTCAGCCTCCCGAGTGGCTGGGATTACGGGATTGCGCCACTACGCCTGGCTTCATCTTTTCTTATTCTTGATTCACACAGGAACCTGTATCAGGTGTTGCTAAGCATCTTTCAGCCTGTGGCAATCTCCGCCCCAGACACACCTTTACCCTGCAAGGATTCACAACCCTGGTGAAGAGGATGGGAAGATTGGCAGCGGAAGGACTGTTACCACAGCGAAGGTCACTTGACCGTAGGAAAGGCCAAAACTACTACGGGTCCAGCCCTGCAAGACCTCCGTTCAACCGGCAGATTACAAGAAGGGGTGGAACTAACCCTATTGTTCAAAAGGGCCGGGCCTTGCCCTCTCTGCACCTGCTCATAAAGGGGCGGGCCAGACCTCTGCTCTTCGTAGTTTAGCACGGAGGCTGTTACATTAACAAGTGGGTGGGCAGGCAGGCAGTTCAGTCCTGTCACCTAGAGGACCGGGTTGACCCAAGGAGGTGGGTTAAAACCAGTGCCGTAGGGCGATGCTCGTACCATCAGAGGTCGGTCTAATCCCCGTTCGGCTCCCTCTTCATTAAAAGGGAGGGGAGGGCCCAGGTTCTGTCCTCTACGTCACCTATGGAGGCCGGAGCCATCTTGAACCCTGAGACCCTAGTATTTCTGCTCTTTTTCCGAGCCCTACGCTGTCTTTCCTGCTCTCGGCCAATCAGAGGCGAAGGAAACACTCCAATCAGCTAAGAGAGTCCACAGCCAGAAGACCCGGATGAGGCCAGACCTAGGGCTTTGAAGTGCGCCCCTCGCCAACTGTCACCATGGCGACAAGACAGCGGTGCTGGGGTGGGATCAGAGCAGGTTCAGCCTTCATAATCGGCCTACCCAATTCCCCGCTGCGTGCCGCGCAAGCGCATTTTATCTAACCACCATTTTCCGTGAAGTTCCAGCCAATCGCTTGCTTTGGAGCGCAACGCTCCAAAGTCCAATAAGAATCCGAACAAATCTTCGAAAGAGGAAGTGAAGGAAAGAGCTGAGTGTGGCTGTATCAGCCAATAGCTATCGTGCAAGTGCGGGGCCGCCACGCTTTATCCCGCCTTCATCCTGTTGACCAATCCTGTCTTTAGAATACGATATGATGGACACTTATTCCGACCAATAGAAACTAGACCACTTTGAAGTCTACCCAATGATTGTGAGTAAGAGGCGGTCTCTCGTTTGTTGAGGCGTGTGTATGTGTGTTTGAGGGGACTGAGGGTACGTGGGGGCGAAACAGAACCGACCATGGCAGCCGCAGAAGAGGAGGACGGGGGCCCCGAAGGGCCAAACCGTGAGCGGGGCGGGGCGGGCGCGACCTTCGAATGTAATATATGTTTGGAGACCGCTCGGGAAGCGGTGGTCAGTGTCTGTGGCCACTTGTACTGGTGAGAATTTGGAACGGGGGCTGAAAGATGTGGGGTTCATCTTGTACTGGGGACACTAGGAGCGGGGGGCGTACGGTAATCGGGAGGCTCTTCCCCGTAGGGGAGGCCCAAGAAAGGGGGAGGTTTGTGTGTCGTATGTGTGGGTGGGCTGTCCACGTCTGTGGAGTTGTGTGGCAATAAGGGTCTTAGGAATTAGGAGGTGGTTCGTGTGCGGTGTGTATGAGGAGGAGGTAGGACGGAGAATAAGGGGACCCTGCACATCTGTACAGGTGAGACCCGAGCCAGCTTACTCCAGGGAAGTTAGTTTCTTAGTTGTACAAGTGGAAACGGATAAAGATTAGGAGAGGCACGCATCGGATGGGTAGGGGAAACCCAGGGAATATGGGCTCCTACACCAGTGAGGTCGGAGAAGGGGTATGTGGAGGGGCAAAACCCAGAGGTGAGAGGGTCGTGGAAATCGGGATTTTCTTTTTTTTTTTTTTTTTTTTGGCGGAACCGGGGATTGAACTCAGGCACTTGTGCTTGCCAGGCAAGCGCTTATTCTACTGAGCCATTTCCCCGGCCTCTAAATCGGGATTTTCGTAAGCTTGAAAATAAGAGGAAAAGGAGCGGTGGAGCACATGCTAGGAAAGGAGGCTTGGTTTGGAGAAGTGAGGGTGAGAACAGGGCTGAGGGTGACAGAGACCTGGAGTGGGGTGGGTTGGTCATAGTTGGAATTTAAGTTGGAATGCAGAGAGGGAGGGAATGAGAATTTGTGTGTGTGAGGGGAGCGGAGTGAGGAGAGGGCCAGTGTGTTGAGGATGGATGGAGCTCTAGTTATTGGGAGATCAGAGACGCAGGGAGGCCAGGCTGGCCAGCATGGTAAAGGTTGCAGGATATACAAAAAGAAATAGCAGATACAACAGTACCTGGGGAGAGTGATGAGATAAGGTTGTCTGAGAGCTCTGCCTCTTTTCTGAAGCTATTTTGACTTTTTCTTTTTTTGCTTCCCATCCAGTTGGCCCTGTCTGCATCAGGTGTGTATCAGGAGGTGTGGGGAGGGGTGGGGAGGTCTGGGGGGAGAGAAGACCCTTCTGTGCACCGGAGGCCGTTTTCTCTTTCTCCCCAGTGGCTGGAGACCCGGCCAGATCGGCAAGAGTGCCCAGTGTGCAAAGCCGGCATCAGCAGAGACAAGGTGGTCCCGCTGTATGGGCGAGGGAGCCAGAAGCCCCAGGATCCCAGGTGGGAGGCGAGGTGCCGCCGCTGGGGTGTGGGGCAGGTTGTTGAAGAATTCTGGGGGAGAAGATTCTGTATTCATAGTCTTTCTCTTTGGCCCCAGGTTGAAAACTCCACCCCGACCTCAGGGCCAGCGACCAGCTCCAGAGAGCAGAGGGGTGAGTTCTCGCCTGCCTAGCTTTGTCTCATCCTTGACGGGCATGTGCAGGTTTTCCTGACTTTTCCCACCTCCTAGGGCTTCCAGCCATTTGGGGATACCGGGGGCTTCCACTTCTCATTTGGTGTTGGTGCTTTCCCCTTTGGCTTTTTCACCACCGTCTTCAATACCCATGAGCCTTTCCGCAGGGGCCCAGGTAAGAGCCTTCCCTGAGCTCCTCCTGATACCCCTCTCAGCCCCCAGCTCCCCTCGGCCAAGGAGCGCATGCTTCGGCAGCTGTCTTTTTCTCCCCGACAGGTGTGGATCTGGGACAGGGTCACCCAGTCTCCAGCTGGCAGGATTCCCTCTTCCTGTTTCTCGCCATCTTCTTCTTTTTCTGGCTGCTCAGTATTTGAGCTGTGTCTCCTTCCTGCCCACCTCCAGCCAGAGGAGAATCAGTATTGGGGTCTCTGCTGACCCTTCCTTACTTCTGGACCCCCAGCCCCAGCCCCTCCTTTCATTGGCCAAGGCTTACCGTGGTCACTCCCAGGAGGGTGTGGGAGGAGGAGTGACAGCCATGCACAGGATGACAGAGCTCTGTGCTCTGAACTAACTGCTGGCAGAGACCTCCGGCCTGGGCGAGGAGGACAGACAGAAGTGCCTGCTTGTCCTCGCCTACCCCTTTGCTTTCCCTCAGATTTCTTGATGTTGAAAGGTGGGCAAGGTTCCCTCTGACTCCCTTTCTTCCTCTTCTTGTTGGCTTAATTTAATTTTTCTCTTCCCAGTATCTAATATGGGTTGTGATTCTAAGTGTTCACCCCTCCCACTACCTCCTTTATTACAAATTCAATAAAAAAGTGAAATGTGTTGACAAGGACTTTTCTGAGTTCCTTCCACAGTAGAAGCCTAATCTCCCCAAGCTGCACAGATGTGAGTATGGGATGAACCCAGCCCCTCTCTGTGGTTCTGCAGGGTGCAGCGGGTGAGTTTGCCTTTGTCTCTCTCACACACACACTCTGCTCATGGGCAAGATGTGTCAGGTGTTTACTCAGCATGGTCCATTCACAAAGGGCTCTGGTTGTGGAAGAAAGTGTAGGGAGGTGGGGCAGAGCCAGCAGGAGGGCTGATCTGGGGTCAGTGCCCGGAGCGGGAGGGCAGGGACAAGGGAGCTGCCTGATGGGCTGTGTAGACCCTCACGGTCCTCCTGCGCCACTCTCAGCTGTCTCAGGCTCCTCTGACTGATTCAGCTCTGCACGCTCCTCCTCCTCTTCCTGGCTCTCTGGGGCCTTCCTGAGGCAGGTTGGGGAGAATTCCATGGCACCTAGCCCTGTTCTGCCCCAGCTCCCAGCCTCTCACTTGCTGCTGGAGGCCCAAGGCTGAGGTGTCTGGCTCACTCACCTCTCCTTTCCTTGGCGTCTCCTTTGCCACATGACGACACCAATGAGCAGGGCAACTATGCCCAGAGCTGCCAGGGTGCCCAAGGCCAGGGCCAGGGTTCTAAGCCCTGATCCTTCCATGGAGCCTGTAGGGAGATGGGGAAACTGAGGGTGCAGCCTCTGCACTGACCACTTCCTCACTGACATATGGGCCATGCATGGTAGGGCTGGCTGCTTCTCTGTCAGTCTCACCTGGGCTTTGCCCCACCTCATCTGTTTCTGGAAGAGAAATTCAGAACAAGTCAGAAGGAGAAAGGGGCTTCAGCTTGGGAAAGGTGGCTCAGTGGGACCCTAGTGAAGCTTTTCCTTTTCTGTCATTCAGAGGGAGAGGCTGGGTTGATTCCTGGGGGTACAGGAGGCCTGAGGATATGCAGTGGCAGAGGGGGCAGGGTTTACACTCTAGACGTGGGGCGAGACCTCACCTGTGATGCGGACCCTGACAGCAGGGCTTTCCTGGGACCCATGGCTGGGACTGGTAGCCACACAGCTGTAGCTCCCCTGGTCTTGAGGCCCCACCTCAGGAAGGAGCAGCACAGCACTGGCGGGCAGCGGCAGCGGCGCCCCCTGGAGGGGCAGAAGGAGTAGCTTAGGAAGCCCTCTTCTGATCTCTACAGCTTCAGCACCTGGCCCACCTCCCTCCCGCTTAGCCTCCACTCCTCTTCCCCTGGGCCTCCCCCCTCCAGCCACTCACGTCCTTCACCCAGTGGATTTCAGAAGCAGCCTGGGCGGGGGCTTCACAGGTCAGGGTCACCGTCCCTCCAAGAGCTACTGCTCCTCCTTCAGGCTCCACCACCAGCTGCACATTTTCAGGGGAGACAGGCTCTGGGGGCAGGCAGGGCCATGAGACCTAGGGCCGCTGTGGGCATGACCCCCACCTTGCTGAGGATCCCACTTCTACCCCAACTCGGGACTCTCCCAAGCCCTTGCTCACCCCACACGCTGGGGTGGATGGGGGTTGCGTGTAGGGCCTTTTGCCTGGGAAGGCCTGGGCTGAAGCTACAGAAGAAGGTGGGGCGCACAGCCCCTCCCCTGGCCGGGGTCACCACCAGCTCTGATTGGAGAGTGAAGAGCCCTGTCTCCGGGTGTCTCCTCATCTGTTCCTTTATAGTCACCCCTGTGGTGGGGGGACAAGAGAAGACAGCCAGGCAGCTGTGGGGAGATCAGGAAAGGGCAATGGGCGTGGGATGCTGAGGGACTCACCTTTGCCATCAGGTGTCAGGGGCTTCCCGTCCAAGTGCCAGCTAAGAGTCCCTGCAGGGTAGCTGCCCTCAGACACGCACGTCCCCACCTGGGGGAGAGTGGAGATCTCGTCATCCTTGAAAACCTGAGCTGCCAGACTAGCCAGGTTCACAGCGCTGCTTTCCGTTTCTCTGCTTTTCCTCCACTACCTTATTGGGGACACCAGCTGTGAGTTCGGAGGCAGGATCTATGATTTCTGGCTTGGCGGGAATCTCTGAAGGAGGGAAAGTCAGTCTCTGAAGAAGTGCTGCACCTTTGAAGGATCGCACACCCCCGGTGTGGGAGTGGGACTAGAGAAGTCAGAGGTCCTCACACCCAGGCCCCGGGGGCCAGGGCTGGGAGAGAAACTGCCTTAGCGGGGAGAAGGAGCCTTACGGTAGACTCGGACCCGGTAGCTGGACTTGGTCTCCTTTCCATGCCTATTTGTTGCCCGGCACCGAAAGGTCCCCTCATCTTGGATCCCAACCGCCGGAAGGAGGAGGGAGCCGTTGGGGAGGATATGAGCCACACTGTCCCAGGGGGCACCCTGGGGGGAGAGGACTTTCCACGCTTCTGTGCGACCTGTGTTCTGGAGACAAGAGACACTAAGTAGCTCAAGCCCTCCTAGGCAGTGCTGATGACTGACTGGGGCAGCACGGACTCGGGAAGTTGGCAGCAAGGAGTGCTGCTTACCAGTTTCCACTCCAGCTCCTGGGGTGGTTTCTTAGGGGCCCCCTTACAGTTCAGCACCAGCGGCTCCCCCATCCGGGCTGTGACGTTCCGACTGCTTACTATGGCTGCTGCCCCTGAGAGACACCACCAGGGTAGGGGTGGCAGGGAGCCAGAGGTGCATTAAGAAAGCATGGGTGGGAGGCTTGAAGGATGGTGCTCAGGTTGTAAGGTACCCCGGGGCAGATGGGGTGGGCCAGAAGTTCTGGGGAGATGGGGTGGACTCCGTCTGCACGGAGGTTGGTGGGCAGGGAGCGCTCACCCCACAGACTGAGGACCAGCACCCAGGTTCCAGCTGCTGCCTGCGCTGCCATCCTGCTTGCTGCTGCCCAGGCTCCTGGCTCTGTCTGCCCCTTCCCTGCTTCAGCCACCGCCCTGGGTGGGGCTGTCCCCTCACCCCTGCCCCCAGCTCCGGCTTGTCCTGGCACAGGGAATGCTAGGAATTCTTGCCTCTTCCACAAGAGCCCTTCAGGTACTAGAAGCAGTTCTCGCCTTTGCCCTGGCACTGCCAGTCCGGGGTGCAGTGCACACCCCCTAGGGCTGTACTCCACACCCTCTTCCCCAGCCCATCTTGACTGGGTGAGGTTGCCAAGCAATGGGCTTAATGCCAGGCTGTCTCCAGGGGTGGATGAGGGGCCTGTGTGGTCAGGACAGGGCTCTGGGGTGGAGAGACGCCTGTTAGAGGCTTCTGGAAGCAGAACAATCACTTATTTTCTAGGGATTTTGAAAAAATTCTCAACTAAACCCAGGGAAAAAAGAAATTTCTTTATTTAAAACTGCATTTTTTTTTTTTTTTTTTTCTGTGAAACTACAAGTTTACAAGTGAGGAGAGAACTGCCCCTGGCCCGTGCCTCCCACCCCCCACACCACATTCCCAACCTGTCCCCTAATCCTGCCTGTATCTTCAGGGGAAGGAATCCCCCACTTAGTCTTGTAAAATCCTGAGGGTGTTTTGAGGGGATCAGATGGGGTTCAGGCAAGGTGGGGACAGTGTTCTTGCTTTCCCCTAAATCTGGCTTTTTACAATCTCCTTCCTCTACCCACCTCCTTGATTTAGGAGAAAAAAAATTTAAAATGCCTCATTTCTGGGGAAACTGAGGGAGATCCATTTATAATAAGCACCCAACCTAAATTCTACACATTTGGCAAGACTCCAGTCATTCTTTCTCCTCCAATCTGCAAGTAGTAGTTTTAAAAAGATTGAAAGACACATTACACAGGGAGGGTGGCACCCTCCATCTCCCTCAGCTACTGTGTCTAGCCCTGCCCAAGGTGTAAGGAGAAAAGGCGGCCAGCAGGGCCAGCCCCTCCCCAAGTGCAGCGGAAACTCTGGGCACAGGCAGGTGACTTGGAAGTGATTTTAGAGGGAAGGGCTTGGTGTCCTACAAAATCACTTCCTATGGTCGGGCCTGAAGCCCGGCAGGCCTCTACCAGTTCCCTTGGTTCCCCTTCCTCTTACCAGAACCCCTTTGGCTATCACCTCTAATATGGGAAAGCAAGAAAAAAAGATCAGCACATTTATTAAGAACAAAAACAAAAACAAAAACCAAACCAAAACCAAAAACCTACTTCCCCAAACTAAATTAAAAATTAAGAACAACAAAAAAAAAAAAAAAAAAAAAAAAAAAAACAACAAAAAACACAGATGGATCCCAGGGTTTCTCTTTAAAAAGGAAAAACAAAAATTTCAACCCCAAAGCCCAGTCAACAATTCCCTAAAGTAGCAGAAACTCCCTCCGAGGTAGATATCTGAGTCAGACACTCTCGTCCACCGAGCGATTCTATTGGTTTAAGATGAGCTGCGTATGAGGTAATAAAGCCGTCTGGAGGGGCAGGGGTGGGTGCACAGGGGGCGCGGCCCATGTCCTCTGTCCACAAGTCAAGTCCCCATTTTTGGCATCTCTGGGTCGGGCAGGGCTGACGTCTCCAGATTCCAGAGCGGAGGAGTGGGGTGGGGAGGAGGCAGAGAGGAACAAGAGCTGCGAGGGAGCATGTGAGGGGCAAAGGCCCCATTTGAGGGGGAGAACAGGGGTCTGAGAATCGGGTGTGTGAGACAGAAGAAGGCCAGAGAGAGACTGGGAAAAGGAAACAAGGGGAAGACAGACCCCACTCCCCTCATGGCCCTGTTCTCCCTGCCATGTCGTCAGCACCCAGCAGTGACAGGGGACCACCCCACTCGCCCTTGTGTCTTGTGCTTCTGTCTGGGGCTGGTCCTGGGGATGCCTGCGTCCTCTTCAAGTTGCCTTAGGAGAGCCCCCACCCCTGTGGCCCTGAGGGGAGAGATCAGTTGGAGGTGTCAGAGTGAACACTTCCTGGTCCCTCTGTTGGGGATGTCACTGAGGATGGGGTCACAGCCTCCTGCCAGCCGCCGTTTGCCTGGAAAAAAGAAGAGACAGTAGGCATTGGGGCCCTGGTGGGAAACCCCAACATGGAGACAACATCTTGGTGACTTCCAGTGAGAGAGGGTTTACGGATCCACTCACCCTCATTTCTCGAGGGCTGTACATCTGGCCTCCCCCGAGGTTATCCCCGTAGCCGCCTGGCCCCATGGAGTGTCGGAGTGATTCTACCTGTGGACAGCAGAGAAAGGTCTGATAGGGAGAAGGCTTCCGGTCCGGTGGGGACCTGTGCACTGAGGGCAACTAGGTAGATTCCAGGAGAGAGGGGGACCAGCGTGCCCAGTGAGTGGGGAGTCTGCATAGCGTGTGGGCCAGCAGGGGAGGAGTAGCGAGGAGTCCTCAGGACAGGACAACAGCGTCAGCGTCTAGGAGGGCAGCGGGACCCCGGTCTGGTGAGCACGGGATGTGCTGGGTGCAGAATGAGGGCAGGCAACAGGAGTCTGGGACAGGCCTCCCTCTGACAGGGGTTCTGACCTGGGAAGCTGAGTAGGAATCTCCATTGAGCCCGGGCATCCCTAGAAACATGTCTCCAGATCCTGAGAGATTGAAGGAGCCGCCAGAGCCTGGGGACAGACAGAGGAATTAGGGAGGGGTATAACGGAGACAGCGACGATAGGAGACGGACACAACTAACTCAGGTTCCGGGAGGTCCTCTACACTAGTTCTGTGGGGACCTATGTGCTGTGACACAGATCATCCCACAAAAGACCCGAAGGGTCAGCAAAGGCAGGCTGTTCCAGAGCCTCCCCCTGCCACCCACTGGAGGGAAGGCAGATGCAACTCCACTGCAGTGGCCTCTGTCCCCTACCATCACCAACCCATCTCAGCTTGGTCCCTGCCACCTCAAAAGTCCTCCCTCTGCTATTATCCTGCCTAGACAGGAAGTGGGAACAAAAGCAGGAAGTGTGCAAAACAGCCAGGGTGGCAGCGGGCTCCACCTGCGGAGGAAGGGGGTGTTGGGGAGCTGGTGCGGCTGTGGCCGCCCTGGGTGACTGACACCGCGGTCTTGACGGCATAGATGTTTGCCTCCTCCTGGAACTTTCCAATATTTTTCTTATAGCGAATCCGCTTGTTGCCAAACCAGTTGGAGACCTGGAGGCGGTAGGGCAGAGGGTCAGATGGCAACCTCCTTCAGGACGCTTCCGGCCTCCAGCTCCTCCGGGGCCTCTCGGTACCTGAGAGACCGTTATGCCGCACTTCTTGGCCAGCTCTTCCTTGGCCTCCTCACTAGGGTACGGGTTGCTCAGGTGGGAGTAGAAGTACTCATTGAGGACTTCAGTGGCCTGCTTGCTGAAGTTGCGGCGCTTTCGTCTGCAGAGGAGAGAGCAGGGATGACTGAACGCTGGTGTCCTGGCAGGGCACCACCCCAGAGGGCACCACTGTCACGGATTACGGTGCGGTGCAATGCGGCTTCCACGGGTCTGGGAAAGGCAAGGGGCCGAGCCGGGATCCCCAGCCCCACCTGGCATCCAGGAAGCGGGAGCGCAGGATCATGACGGCCTCGCACGTGCTCTGCTTGAGCTGCATCTGGATGGCACTGAACTTGCGGTGGATGATGCTCACCATGCGCTCCATCTCCTTGGGCGCCACGGGCCTCGTGCGGCTCTGCTCGCGCAGCAGGTTCATGACGTGCGTTGTGAACTCGTTACACGCCTGGGGGAGGTGCCCGGCTGGGCTGGTGAGCGGGAGCCCCCTTGGGTCCCGGGGTTCCCTCCTCTGAGCACCCGGCCGACTCACCTGCTCATACTTCTCCAGCTCCGAGTGGTAGATGTGGCGAATCTGGGCGAGCTTGCTGCGGTAGTCCGAGTGTTCAATGGAGTTGTCTGGGGACACGCCGCCCCCCGAGGCTGCTGCAGCCGCTGCAGCTGCCGCTGAGCCCCCGCCCTTCTCGGGCCCAGCCACACCCTCTGCCAGAAGCATGTTGTCCAGGCGCATCAGCTGGGGGTCCACCGGCTCCTCCTCTTGGGAGCTGCGAATGCTGAGACCTGGGGCACAGGGAAGTCACCTTAGAGACCAGGCCCTAGTACTCAGTTTCCAGGCTTGGGTTCTGTCCCAGGCTCCTCAATGGCCTCTCAAGGTTCCCATTTCTCTGAGGTTCCCAAGCTGTCAAAGTCTTAGCCCTGTGGTGCGCAGGGCTCTGTCCCCATGGCCATGGGGTCAGAGGGGTCTCACGTACCCGTCTTCTCCTTGATTTCACACAGGACACTAAATAGAGCAGGCTTCATTCGATGGCAGTTGAGGGCGTGTTTCCTTAAAAGAGGAATGGAGAAAGAAAAGTTGAGGAGCCGGAGAAACGGGGCACGTCTGGGAATGAGGGAGGAGGGGAAACGTGCGCAGGAGAAAGCGGGGCTTGGGAAGAGCTCAGCTCCCACAGCATGGACAAGATGCGGGCTGCAGGCTGCGGCTCTGGGGCTTTGGAGAGGGCCTGGAAAGTGGGGCCAGTTCGGGAGGAACTGGATAAAAGAGGGTGACCTGGTAGATTCCAAGAGGGGCTGGGGTGCTCCGCGAGTGGGAGTCTGCGATAGGGTGCGTGGGGTGCGGGCCAGCAGGGGAGGCTGGCGAGGAGTCCCGAGGACAGGGCAGCAGCCCAGGGCCCGCGTCTGGCGATCACGGGCGCGCTGGGTGCAGAATGAGGGCAGACGACAACACTGCCCCAGAACAGGTCCTAGTCCAGAGCCAGGGGCTGCCCCAGGACAGCGTGGGGGTCACAGGAGGTGAGGAGGGGAGCAAGACCACCTGGGGTTCTCCCCGAGCAGATTTCAAGGCCTGGGGGCGAGAGGGGCTTCAAGAGAAAGCAGTCGCTGGGGACCCGGCGGCGAAAGGAGAGCTGAGAGGGCCCGAGAGTCGGGCGGGGCTCCCGGAAGACCCAGCCTGTGAACAGGGTCCTGCGGGTCTGCGCGGGGTCCCGGGGGGGGGGGGCACTCACTTGGCCTGGGCCTCGTCCAGGCTCTGGTCGGTGATGGTCATTATCTGCTGCAGAATGTCCCCGATGTCCTGCTTCCCTCGGCCTCCCGGGACCCCCCCGCCACCCCCACCGGGGTCGCCGCCGCCGGGAGGCTCGCCAGGGCCCCCGGGCTCCCCACCCACCAATCCCAGGCCCCCGCGGCCCCCGCCAGGAGGGGGCGGCCCCAGCAGCCGCTCGTCCATCGCTGGGGGGGGCCCTGAGGCCCCCTCCCTGCTCCGCCCCTCCCCCGCCGGGTTACTCCCCCCAAACTCGCCGGGGCCGCTGCTCCCTCCGCCCCAACCCCGCCCGTCTCCCCCCTCGCGGCTCTGCGGGGTTCACCCCGGCACTGGAGGGAGACCTAGGGTACCGGCTGGGCCCCCCACAGGAGACCCCGGCCCCCGGCGGCGGAGAAAATGGAGCCGGAGAGAGAGCGAGGAGGCCCAAGCGGGGGTGTGTGTGAGCGAGAGGGAGGAGGGAGGGGGAGGGGGAGGGGAGAGCGGGGG